AGGAGGACAGGTCACTGTTACAGCCTCAGTAACTGCACGGTTTGTTTTGCTCTCACAGCATGGTACGCCCATGCTACCCAAACAAAAAATAACCAAGGATCAAAGAGCAAGGATTAGCTCTGGAGATGTGGTCCAGTTCATAGAATCTCTACATGCACACACAAAGGCCGGGGTCTGATCCTCGGCACAACATAAACAGGGTATGGTGGCCTGTATATGCAATCAGGAGACAGAGGCAGGAGGATCGAGAGTTCAAGCCTATCCTGTTATGCAGCAAGTTCAAGGCCAGCCTGGGCTATATAAGACTCTACCTGGAGGAAACAGAAGAAAAAAAAAAGTAAAAGAAAGTAGGTTAATTTTCTGTTTAAAATGAAGGAAAATTAGTATTTCTTAAGCCCTCACCTTTAAAAAAATGTTCACATGAGTCCCTAGCATTTATGGTCTCCAGCTTATGGAGGACAGCAGTCCTGGACAGGCAGTAACTTACTGGACTCTCCTGCTCTGACGAGATGTAGCAAGTAGTGCTCTGGACTCGGCAGCTCTCTCGCTGCTTTCTCAGAAGGTGGACACCCACGGTGGCCCGGGGCCAGCGGTCCAGAGCGTGCTGGAGAGCCACCCGAAGTCTCCCTAACCCAGGCTGCTTCTTGACAGCCACCCCCACCCCATCTCATCAACAGGCAGAAAGTGTGCATTTCTGCTGCACACAGGTGACATTTCCGGAGTGATGCTCAGGTTATTGGTACAGGGATCAAGTTGGAGAGCCACTGCTTGAAGGAGCTATGACCCAGGGAATATGGAAGACCCTTCAAATCATAAGACAGCTTTTTCCTGACGTTTGTACCCCAGGATGGTGGGGAGAGCAGTTGTGAAAGTGAGAGCTTGTGCCTTCTGGGCTAGACTGTGCTTTCCCACAAAACCCCAGGAATCTCATCCTCCCATCCTGGGGATGCTTTGAACAAGTGTGTGCTAAGATAGAGGTCTCTAGCTGAGCTATTATGGGATGGCTTGTATGAGGGTGCAAGGTTTCTTTAAAAAAAAAGTGATACCATGCTTGTGCTGAGGATAGCAAAAACCATCTTAAAATCCCTGTGATAAAACGTTAAGAACGTTCATGCCTTTTATTCAGTAATTCCAATTATAGGAGTTTGTGTCATAGAAATTATCAAAGATGCTTGCAAAGAGTTATACCTAAAGGTCTTCACTGCAGCATTATCTGCATAGCCTCAAACTACCAAAACTACTTGCAGACACTTTAGTGCGAGACTGGGTAAACATATCCTGATAGAGTATTGTGAAGAAGTAAGATGGAGCCTTGAAAAGTCATTCCAGGCGCTGAGGAAATGCCCCAGTGTGTGAGAGTACATACCATGCAAGTTAGACCTGCGTTCACATCCTTGGTGCATGCATAAAACCCAGGCATGACCACTCTGGCTTATACTCTTGGCGCTGGGGGATGGAGGTTGGATCTCAGGAGCTCACTGGCTAGTCAGGCTAGCTGAGACGGAGCTTCATGTTAATGAGAGATCCTGCCTCAAAAAATAAAGTGGGGAGTGACAGAGAAGGACATTAAGTATTGTCCTCCTTGAACAATAATTATAACTCCTCTGATCGTCACATGCTTGTACATGGGCACATGGACTTTCCCATTCACATGCGTGCAACACACATGATTATCCCACCAGGAAACTTAGGAAATAAAGATGTGGGCAAAAAAGTCGACTGAAAATGTGCATGTAAAGTATCAAATGCACCTCAGAATATTTAAATTTTTCCAAACTCCCTTCATTGAATTTGCATTACATTTTAAAATAAAAGAAGTCCATTCCTTGATGGATTGGCTGCTTCTAAGCAATCTGTGTAACAGTGGGATTGATTTTTTTAAAACGCAGAATAAAAGAGAGACAGGTCTTAGCAGTAACTATTTCTTTTTTAAATTATATTTATTTATAGTGTGTATGTGAGTGTGTGAGCATGAATTAGTGTGTTTGTATGTGTGTATGATTACAATAAGCATGTATAGCATACTCTAATTATATTTATAGTGTAAATGTGTGTGTGATATGTGTACTTTAGTACTACTAAATTATATCTACATGCATGTGTGTGAATATGTGTGTGTGTGGAATTCAGTACTACAATATGCATGGATGTCATACTCTAATGTCCATGACTATGCTAACTTTACAGCAGAGATGTAGACTTAGGGAATAAAAGTAATTAATAAGAAAGATAGAAATTAATCTCAAACCTGAATGTTTCTATCTTAAATAAATTCATTCTTACTATCTATGCAGCAGTATTGCAAGCATATAAGCCTTCTAGAAATATTGTCTGTAAGGGACATTCTGTTGACCAAGCTATAGCATCAAGAAACAGAAAAAAAGTTATTTTTTTCCACACCACTTCTGTTGGGTAATTTTTATCTCAGAATGTTGAGTGTTCTCCTTGTCTGCCCACTGTTCCTCATCGCCCTTGGTGGCTGCCCTGTTCTCTGAATGATTAGAGAACCTCTTCATTTCCAGTCTCCCGCAGGGCCCTTATTTTCTTGGTCCTGTCCAGACCTAGTGCTCCTAGCCCCCTGCTAGCCCTGTGTTAGGTGACTGACATGACTCTCTCTTTGGAGTCTGTTAGCCAGTTTCTTTTTCATCTCTGCGGCTTGGATTAAACAGCTTTGTAAGTATATCAGGCATTTCCATTGTAGTTAAAGGCTTCCTGAAAACTTAACGTCTCTCTTGAACCTGGCATAGCTGTCATAGGCATTATTCCCCCCCCCCCAAGGAAGCTGTTCTCTCCACACTGGGATGGACAACTGTAATGTCTACCCCCCCCATTCCAAAGTGTTGCTCAACACAAGCATAAAAGTCTGCCCACCTAACCCATTATCAATTTCCCCCATTCCAGATTTGTTTTTCTTGAACATTTGACTAAGCCTAACATCATCTAAGAACAGACTTTAGAACTCCTTCCTAAAAAGTGTGTTTGAAAACACTCTCTAGTGAGGATTGAGGAATAAAACACATCGATCGACAAGTTCTTTGGCAAACCTCTCTTAGAGGTGGTGGTTGCATTCCTTTCTACTGCATCTTAGTTTTATAGTTACCTGTTGGGTGGAGATGATGAAAATGATGCTGCGTCCATTTCTGGGCAAGGCCTTAAGCAGTTGGCAACATCTGTTTCCTGCCTCCTGGAATTCTCACTTACAGAATTTAGCCAGTGCATTTTGAAGATGTCCGAGCAGTGAGGCTCCCAAGAGAACCTGAAGTCATTTTGTCTGTGGCTCAACAGAGCTCTCAGCTGACAGCAAACCTATCAGGTCTGCAAGTGAGCAGTGGGAGAGAGGGCTCTCTGGTCGCTGCCTACAGCCCCTGAGGCAGAGACAAGCCTTCCACACGAAGCCCTGCTTAACCGGCAGGTATGTAAACTAAACACATGATCACTGTTCTATTAGGTTTGGGTGTATATATGACTAGAAGCTACAGCTTTACAATATTGCATGCAGCAGATCTTCAATAATTGGGGCATCATTAAGTGAATAAATTCTCTATCAAAATGACAGGAAGTTGGTGGAAGCCCCCAAGCTGGGGTGCAGAGGAGGCCAGAGGAGGGAGAGAACTCCATTACTAAGGACAATGGCTGAGCTCAAATGAACTAGAAATCAGTAAAAATGACCCCTGTCACAGGTGGTGTGGCATTGAATGCCAGTAGTTCATGTTTAAGGTGTTTGCTAAGGCAGCTGCCAGCCTGTGAAGGGTACCCGCTGATCTGCATGCCCTTAACTTAAACATTCAGCCAACTCTGGCCACACATACAGTCCCCAAGATTGGGAACTTTAGGGTTAGGTGGTTAGGCTGTAATGAAGACTAGAATCCTGATTAGTTTTTGTCCATTTGACTCAAGCTTCGCATGTCTGGGAAGAGGACACCTCAACTGTTGGCAAGTCTTTGGGGCATTTTCCTGATTAATGATTGACATGGGAGGGCCCAGCCCACTGTAGGTGGTGCACCTGCCTGGATGGGTGACCCTAGGTTGTATAATAAGGCAAGCTGAGCAAGCCAAGGGGAGCAAGCCAGTCAGGGGCAGGCGTTTCTCCTTAATCTCTGCTTCAGTTCCTCTCTGAGTTCCCGCTCCGACTTCCCTTGATGATAGACTTTAAAGTGTGAGCTGAAATAAATGCTTCCTTCCCAGCTGTTTTTGGGTAGTGTTTTATCACAATAGGAAAGCAAGGACTGTTGGAAGCAAGATGAAATAATGCCTTTCCTTCCCACATTGCTAGGGCCACTAGGGAGGTCGCACAGTGCAGAGAAAAATAGTGTCACCTGAGGTGACATGGAGAAATCTGAAAATCCCCAAGGAACAGGATCCAGAAGCCAGAGGTGACTCTTGGAAATATAACAGAAGTGCTCATTTTCTTTCTTGCTCTGAGTAGCCCACCTCCTTCCTGTTCAAACGCAAAGGATGCCGGAAGTCTTTCTTGCGCATAGGTCCAGGTGTCTTGAACTTTCGTGTTCACAGTGATCTCAGTTGACTTGTGCTGTGCTTAAGGACAATGACACCACTGAGTTTCATGTGTGGTAATCTTCAGATTTTAAGAAGAGTAACAACTCCTGCTTTGTTGGCTTCCATGTGGGCTCTCAGAAACACTTGTTGTGGTGGCTTTTGGTGTCAGTGAAGCAGCACCTACCTTGTTGGGAACCCACAAATGCTACTTAACGAGGTGGGTATGTTTAGACCACACTCAGGTTAGCCTGATGATATTTCCTGGGTACAGAAAAAATTGGTACCAGGCTTCTAAACTCCATAGCGACGAAATCATAAAGGTGCATTGCCCCAAGTCACTGAATCCGTAGGCATTTGCTACCATACCAGTAGAAAAGGAATGTGCCTGGTGGTACATTATTCGTGAATATGTTTGTTAAATGAGGAATTTAACCTAGAAGCTAGAGAAAATGAAAGTATCCAAAGCTTGCTTTGTGAGTTGAAATAAAGACCAACTACGCATATTTTCTTTATAGTTACTTTTACTGGAAAACAACAACAACAACAAACATGTTTTCAAAACTGTCAAAATAAAAAACCAATACACAAGATTGCACCATCATTTACAAATGCTGGCAGTTAAAGGCAAGTAGTTTTCCACACAGAATCCCATCTCAGTAGTCTTCTACACAGGCAAGAGCACTTGAAAGGCAGATCTTGGAGCTGTTGGCTGGATTCAAAGTTCCCTTAGCCACACTGACAGCATTGTACCATCAAAACATATCACAGACCTCAGCTAGGAACTTCTCCACCACGATATTGCATTGATGTCTTTTAAAATTTCACATTCTTTCCATGCACCATCATTCATAGTCTGGGGTATAGTTCAACATTCTCCAGTGTCCTTCTTTATGCATTATACAATATATGCTCTTCAATTCATACGTAACTTCCACAGTCTTCACATTCTCTTCAACCACCGCTGTCATCACTATACAAGAATATAATTTATATGTAAATACATAAACACACACCTTCATAAGGGGTTGGGGTAGGAGGAGACCTTCTGCCAGAAAACAGATACAGGCATAGTAGGTAACTCAAGGACCCCCAGAAAGGACTTGAGGCCACTAACACTAGCTTGAAAAAAAGCAATCCAGAAACTTAAAGAAAAACTAAATTAGTTGTGTGTATTTTATTCTGCACCATTTTGAATTAGACAGGAATAAATCCAATAATACACTTGCAACGTGAAACACCGAGTGTGTTAACAGCTTGCAAGTGTCACAGTGAATGCTCAGCTGTCTTCAGAGATACGGGCACACATAAACATCCATACTTTAGAATCCACCTTCTGGGTCTTGTGCTCACACATGCCACAAACAGAGTGTGATTCAGACTAGATTCGAGTTCAAGGCACTACTGAGCAAAGGCTACATGCTTTCTTAGTGATTTTATGTGCCTGTGAGGCCTACCTCAAACTCAGAAATTAAAGAATATATAAGCAGTCTCTTGACAATATATATTACGTATGTATACATGTCCTTAGAAATTATGTAAAAGCCTAACAGCTTATTGGATTGATTTTTATGAGCAGTTTTTTCAAACAAACTTACACATAATTTCCCCCATCAACAGTACTGATAAAATACAGGGCACCTTTTTCTTTCAAGTATCTGGGTAAAATAGCACACCCTGAGATTTTAGGGTGCAAATGTTACACCTTGTAAACCGTAGAACGAAACTCCTCAAGCACCACATAGGAAAATGTATACCATGATAGTTTTAAATACTGCTGAATGTGTCTTCAATGTACACATGTGCACTTATCATGAGATTATAATCATCTACCTAGAAACCAACACTGCACACACTCGTGGAAGTGTAACCATCTACTTAGGAATCAATTCTGTCCTGCAGGCCAAGGTAGAAAAAATCCAGGGAATAGGATCATTTCATTGGTAGCAAACACAGGCTTTTGTTTCTACAGCAGATAAGGAGAACGGGTTAGGGCACATCAAATCTTTTTAAGAAGCAAGAGTGAAAAGGTCAAATCTGAATAAAGAAGAAAGGTTTTTATGTCACTAGACATTTTCTAGTTATATAAGATGAATTTGAAATGCATGCTAATTTTGAAATGTATCCTAAAGTTGTCAAGTATAATTTATTTTTAGCTTAATTACATGGAGACAGTCATATTTGCACTAATCCTTTATCTTGGGCTTTATCTACACATAAGTGTCCAAAGAAATACATTCTGGTCAGCTGAATTTTCATACTGGCTTCAAATGCATTTAGTTTTCAAGAAACGGGTCAAACGGGACCTGTTTCAACATGACCCCATTACTAACAGAGAAAGGAGTCAATGGGTTGAGATTCCTTCACAGAGTTCCTCATGATCATTCTGGAAGTTGAGTCTCACACATGACCTTGAGAAAAAAATTACAAAGGCCAGGGCACATTTTGTTTAGATTCAAGCTCATAGCTCTATTTAGGGTACTTTTTTTAATTAATGGTTTTATGATGTAAAGCATGACGGGTAGTTCAGTAGTTAAGAGACACTGTTGAGCGTTACTGCTTCATGCTGTAGAAGGGCTGTCTAGATTCATCCCACATTGGTTGAAAGAAGAAAGAATAGACAGCCACTTCATTCAAATGTCCATATAAGCTCAAGAAATGGCAAAACAAAGGAAACAGAGATTGGGATGTGTGCCTTGTGAGAATTTTCTTTCTCTGTCACTTGAGGTAGGAACTGCCCAGTAGATGATGCAGCTGTGAAACGATCAATATCTGTTATGAACGGCATAAACACAAGTTTATAATTGCATCTTAACCACTCGCACCCTTACCACATCCTTGGAAACTTGAGGGAGGGCTCAACCTTTTTGCATATAAGCAGCAACAAATACAATTTCTCCCCCCCCCCACACACACTTCAGTTTCCTTTCTACTGTGTGAGACTGGAAGGCTCGAATACTGGTGATAAGTACTGATAGTAGCCCATGAACTCACAGTCTCTGGACTGACACATTTTCTTGAAGAGAAGTCTCTCTTTGTAGGGAGCTGGCAAGCAAACCCATGGGGCTTTCCTGAAAGTCTCCTGGGACATGAGAAGCCTTCCTGGTGAGGGTTCTCTCCATGCAAACCCTGTCTATCCTGTGCTTTCCATTCAAATCCTTCAGATTTCACAATACTGCTTTACAGCTCACAGGCTTGAGCTCTTTGGAAGAAATGGGTTCTAGTTTCTTGTTCCAATATTAAGTAATCTTATGTAGCCAGTTTGCCTGAAAAATGCTAAAGTTCTGAGATTAATATTCTATGAGAAGGGAATAATGCTTTCCTAAATACGGCCCAAATGCATCTTCCGTCCCAGAGATGGAATGGAAGTTGCCTTCCTACCTCAGGCCTCGGAGACAAAGCTATATTTCATAGCTCCTTAGCCAGTGACTGAGTGGCCAAAGTCACCATTCCTGCCGCTTCAAGTCTTGCTTTTTATCTAAAAGAACTTAATGCTTAGGCTTGTTTTCCTCCTTTAAAGGAGGCCCTGGAAGCGACACTGAATTTATTTTGAGTCTGGACAAAAAAAAACAAAAAACAAAAAAACAAACAAAAAAAACCCATCATAATTACAAAGTAGTAAAATTGAAAAAAAACCTTAGAAATTTCAGTTTTTTAAGGTAGCATAAAATCCTGTTCTTCAAGAAACACTTTTAAGTAGAAAGCAAACATTGATGATCATCAAAATCAAAATGATTACTTAAAGAATTTACCAGAATGCTTTATCTTTAAACAATGAGTAACTAAACAGAGATTCCTTACGGAAGTCCTGAGCTAATAATACATGGGTTTTAAAGTTGTGTTCATTTAGGAAGTAATCAAGAAATTCTTCAGTGTATCACTTAAATTGAGACACCAACTAAGGCAAGCTGAAAGTATCTTTTCAGTCAGAATTGGGTCCCAACTGGTCAGTAAAACATCCCATGGTCTGGAATCTTAACATCTGTTAAAACCCAAAGCAATGTAATTATAGCTTTCTTCTTAAGGATGGCTGGGACTGGAGGGAAACAGAGCCACTAAAGCAAAGTTCACAGCCAATTCTTCCCCAAAACTTCAGGCTGCAAATGGTGAGAGGCAGGAGGAACTCTATGAAGGGAATCATTAGAGGGGTGTGTGTGTGTGTGTGTGTGTGTGTGTGTGTGTGTGTGTGTGTGTGTGTGTGTGTGTGTGCGTGCTGCACTCTGACAACAAAGGTTGGATTCTTGAGACCTGCCATATATTCCAAGGAACTCCAAGGTGATTTGTGATCCTATTACTGATTTGCCAATTTGGTTTACAATAGAACCAATCAGATTCTATGGACTGTTTCGAATGAACCATTCAAATACTCAGTATACTGTTTGCCTGGTCACAAGTGCTTGGAGAAGGCAATGACAAGAAAGCTTATATCCTGTATTAAAGTATAAAAAGAAATACTTTACGGGGAGAAATGCAACCATTCAGTCATCTTAGTGAAATTGAAATAACAAAAACTACCCTAAGGGAGTAGTTCAGGAAAATATACAAACTTACACACATGGTTCATAAGAAATAAAAGTTCATAACACAACTGAAAGTTTTTCAGATGAATTCGGAGTGTTGCAATGCAACTTCAGATTAAAGAACAGTCCTTATTTCTGTCTTGCTCCTGCAAAAGAAAAAAATGCAAAGAAAACATGGTCAAAGAAAAGACAGTTCTGGAAGAGCATTTCCCTGTAAAGGTGCAAGAAAGGCATACACCCTCCCATTTGCTATTTAGTTATGTGGCTCATTTCTCTATAATATATGGTTTTCAAGACAGGGTTTCTCTGTGTAACTCTGTAGACCAGGCAGGCCTCGAACTCACAGAGATCCACCTTCCTCTGCCTCCCAAGTACTGGGATTAAAGGTGTATGTCAGCACCGGCTGACTGGAATTTATATTTTTAAATGTGTTTTGAAAGCATGCCTCTGAATCTCCTAGTCATTGCTGACTTCCAGAAAGTGCTACCAAGTGGAACCTGCCTTGGAAAATTGAATTAAATTCAATCAACTATTTAAAATGATTTTAGAGTTAAATGTTTCGTCTCTCTGAAATCATTCACAAGGACAAAGCAATCCCTAAAATTAGCACATAGAATTGATATTTAAATTAAATGGCATCATTTGTAATTTGCCATGCCAGAGACCTAATTAGATGAATGAAACACTCTGAATTCCTGGAAAGCAAATAGCCACTAACTAAATCATGTAGAATTTCTCACGGTGTGTAGTTACATAAATTAGATGGACTGGCTGTAACATGTAACTCAATTAAACCCATTTTAAGACAGCAGTGACATTCAAAAGCTTTCTTCTACTTTTATAAAATTTTACTATAGTCTACTAGAACGTTTTTAAACGGATCTTTTTGGAGCTTTGGAGCTTGTTCCGGAACTAGCTCTTGTAGACCAGGCTAGTCTCAAACTCACAGAGATCTGCCTGCCTCCCAAGTGCTGGGATTAAAGGCGCGTGCCACCACTGATCTTTTTTAATGCCCAGAAGTTGATATCTAAATATAAGATTATAAAGACAAAAACAAAATGAACTGCAAGTGATATTTGTTGAGGAGTAGAAAGTCTCTATTATGTGAAAAACACCCTTGAAGAGGGAGAATCAAATAGAATCGCTAACTATACGTAGTCAAGCAGCCAGGCAAGGGACCCTCTCTTCCTGTGACCTAGGAGACAGAGGCCTGTTTAAGCACGTGTTACTAAGAAAGGAAGCTAGAACAATACTGCTTTTGCAGCTCATATGAATGTACTTCAGTTACATCGTTTTGTTTGATATCTATTTAATAGAATGCATCCAGGCTAAAGGAAATGTCGATATATGGAACATCTAGTGCCCACAACTTAGCAGTCCCCTGAAGCTCACGGATATGCGATTTGCTCAGGTTGATTTTCTATCTTAACTCACACAGAACAGTAAGAGGACACTGAACATAATCACACGCAAAGGAGGAGTGGCCATGGGACTAAGAACGATTTCAATTGCGTAAAAGAACTTGACAGTAGTTCTGGCTCGGTGCCATCATAAGGCAAGGTTTATAAGATTTATAAGGGCACCAACAGTAGGAGGAGGAGGAGGAGGAGGAGGAGGAGGAGGAGGAGGAAGAGGAAAAGGAAACTCCCCTTCAAGATGATAGTCAACTGAGACAATATCTTGGGATCATATTCAGAGATCATTAGTCTAGATATTACTTTGTGAATATCCATAAGGTTGTTTTATTTTTTTTGTTTGTTTTTGCTGCTTCTATTAATTTTAGAAAAATTTTGTTTGAAAATGTGAAAGGGTCCATCTAGTTCTTATTAAGATGAAATCATAATAATTAGTCAATGAAACCCATCCGAAGTCTCTCAGGTGGATCCTGGGGGTAGAGAAGAAGGGTTAGCTGTACTGCATTTCCAGGGGCTCTCCCGGAGTGCCTTCCCAGGGGTTTAGACCTGGAACACTGACAGCATTCAGCAGGGCTTTGGGGTGGACTTCCCCTTGCTCCTCCTAGGGTTGTGCCCAGACAGAGAGGAAAATCACCGCATGAAGCTGGCAAGCTGGCCCCAGAGTTTTATAACACGCTGGAAGGCCATGTGGGATACTAGAATACCCTGGCACCCAGCCGACTTGCCTGGAGAACAGCCCGCTCTGAGGGGACTGCAGAGCTACGGGTACTGACTGAAACAATGGGGCTGGCTTCCTGCTCTGTCTAGGCCTGGGGGAAATTTAAGGGTTCTTGCTTCCAAGAGGCTTTGGCACTTACTGTATGTTGTTCTCTGGGGTGGGTTGGCAGTTCCATCTTTACAACTTTCTCAAGGTTCTTGCCATTTTACAGATGAGAGAAGTAAGGCTCAGAGTGTGTATAGCACTGGCCTAGACCAGTAAATAATGGTCCCTCTCTCTGAGTTCTAGCTGTGTGATTTCGTGTGGACCTGTGCTCTGGTCACAGTCACATAGCTCCCCTTCAACTAAAGAGCTTAAACTTGTCCGCATCCATGGGGAGAGGGAATTCCCTCGAATGTACACCCCATCCCTTTCCTCTCCAAACTCTCTCATAACCAAAGACACACCCTTGAGTCTAGTGTCTCCACATGGCTCAGATTTCTCTTTACAACATAGAATGTTCTGGCTCGACATTTTCGTCATGAGAAAAACACATATAGAAGCTTAATAAATGTTGGATATATTCAGACTTCAATTTATTCCCTTCTCCCTGCCTTCTTGTTCCTTTTCTCAAACTCAGCACACATGCACGCACTCACTCACTCACACACACACAGACACACACACACAGTCTCTCCCTCCCTCGGCCCCCTCCATCCCTCCCCTAGTGAAATAGCTAGAAGGTTCTAGAAGGTTCAATTCGCTCTTGGATAGAACTTTCATTTCCCACCTGATTGAACTGAAATTAGAAAAATTACCATCAGGGCTACCAGCCTAGCCATGTTCTGCCATCCTCTATGAGGATACAAATGTCACATAATTAATTCTTTACTAGGCTGACTGGCCAAGAGACAACATAAAGACACTGAAATTTTTCAGAGAAGTTAAGCCTGGCACAAACGGAAGGGGAATACTTCATAGCAAACAAACAAACAAACAAACAAACAAAAAGGCAGAAGAAAGAGAAGCAGGTGAACGAGGACCTTCTGTAATAATGCAGGCGTTGGCTTCAGATGGCTTGGACTTCATTTACTGTGGATTAGGGCTATTTATGTCTCCATTTGCCCAACAGGGAATAGGAAAAGACACCAGGCTAAGTTTTGATAAGGAAGAAAATGTAAATGTACACAGAGCACACCTGTAATCACAGTGCTTGGGAGGCAAAGGCAGAAAAAACAGAGATTCGAGGTTAGCTTTAGATGAGTTTGAGGCTAACCTTGGCCTACATGTGTATGCCCAATAAAATTGTGGAGGAGGTTGAGAGTAAGCTAGAGGTAAGCTCAATCTAATGAAAAGGAAGAAGAGAAAAGTCAATTCAAATAAAAGGACATTAAGAATCCCAGCACTTAAGAGGCAGAGGCAGGTTGATCTCTGTGAGTTCAAGGCCAGCCTGGTCTGCAGGGCTAGTTCTGCAACTGCCAGGGTTACACAGAGAAACCCCATCCTGAAAAACAAGACAACAACATCAACAACAAAAGATAGAACAAGACTCTAGTTATATATAATAATTGGGAGAGGGAAACACATGTTCAGGGAAGGGGACAGAAATAAACTGTTGGTTGTGGGATGTAATTGTGGAACTAACTGAAACTCAAGTGTGGAGTTTTTAGCAGCTCAGCAACTGGGCACCTCTGTCCACTAGGACATAAAAGGTAACCACACTCCTGGCCTACCAGGGATGCTCAGCATTTTGAAGTATGTTCTGGTGAGAGAGCTGTCAAGGCTACCCAGTCCTGCACCTTAAGCTGTTTATTCTGTAATAAAAACAAAACAAAACCCTGAAAAAAGTAAGGACATGGGCCCATGTATAGATGAGTGTGGTAGGCCATTAAAGTCAATGGAGAAATGAGAACCCACAGTGGGAAGACATTGCAAATAAATAATGAGTTAACAACAAGCCCAGAATAACTTCTCAGACAGCAAGCAAACACTAGAGCAGATATTCAGGAAACTAAGCGTCCCTAGAGAGAGAGGGAGAGGGGAAAAAGGATGGAGAGTGGAAAGACAATGGTATGATGTCCAGGTTGAAAACCAAGCCTTCCACAGAAGAGACGGTAGCTAAAGAAGAGTCGCCTGACTTCTCAGCTTTGAAACAAGTGGATCTGGGTTTGATAGTCTCAGAACTCCCCGGGGGCCACTCAGAACACACCATGAAAGTGGTATTGAAAATGGCTCTCCCTGAATCCAGCTTTCTCTGTCCTCTTTAGCTCTATTCATAGAAACAACCCTGAGAAACAAGGAAAGAAGAAAGGTCATGAAACATGCTCAGAAATGAAGAAATAAGTCTTGCAGAAAACCAAGGGGCACTCAGTTAAAACGAAATCATTACCATTCTCTAAGACTGGACCCTAGGCGGCAGGTGGAGTGCCGATTGAAGTTTTGATAAAGTTAATGTGTCAGAAAGGTATTAACGATGGGAGAAGTAACTTTCAAAACCAAAATAGGCCAAAACCAAAACATGCACACCAGACCCACCCACAAAACATCTAAAGAAATAGAGAAAGAGCTGAATATTTGCTTTGTGGGCTGGCATGAAGTCCCCAAAGCAAAAAGTACAGGAAATTAGAAGAAAGAAAACCCATAATGGAAAGGGAAGAAAATTCATAATCATAATAGAATAACCAGAAACAAGGCTGGTATCTTTTCCACTCAGTCTGCACAAGGAGTCAAAGCAGAAGGCTTCCCCTTTGTAGGGGGTGCTAAAAATAGACAATGAGACTGTCTTTGAGCTGAAAGGAATCTTAAACAACACTTGAACATTGGCTTTCGGTTTAGAAGGGGGACTCTGCCTCATCATGTTAGAATATCTGCTCCTGACTCACAGAGCCATCGTGCGTCCGTCAGCTTGTGGGATTGTAGTCCACCCCAGAGCACACAGTAGCTGCAGAGTGTAGCCATGGAATGTGTACTCATCAACCAAATGAAAAGCCTAACAGTATTTCCTGAAAATCTGTGTTTAATAAACTACCCCAAAGTAAATGGAGACGTCTGTAGTTCAGAGTCAAATGTCACCAGGGTGTAAAGCACAGACATTCTCTCCTCTGTGACCTCCTTTTGTTATTCTGTGTACCTTACCAAGGAGAGCAGCCTGGGAGAGGGGAGGGCCCGCCGCCTCGCTCTTATTTCTCTCTCACTCTTTGGACATTTCAGTAAAAATCTCCAAGTCTAGTTTACCTGTAGGCAGGTTTACTGCTATAATTGGATCAAATCCTTTACATAGCTTGTCATTTGAAAGGGTGTCATAAAAACCTATCCTATGAACCCCTGTAACCCTTACAAGCCTGGGTTCTGTAGGTGACACTAGAGCTGAAACCACCTGCAGATACTTCGCTCAGGAAAGTCAGTGGGTGCTTTGGAATATTCGAGCACTGCTTTACAAAACTGTCAAAAAAACCCTACCCACCACTTTTTAAAAGCTGATCTTTCCTTGGAAAGTATAATGTTGGATCCTGAAGACCCTGAATTCATATCTCAGGTCGGCAGCTAGATTTTTGCCAGGACACAAAAGGCTCACCTTTGTTCCCTACTCCTCTGCTTGGATCAAAGCCAACATCCGCCTTTCTGTCTTTAAGGCTCTTTGCTAGGGTAAACATTGTGCTTCCAGCAAGGGTAAGAACAAATTCAAAGCTACCCTTCAGCTCTCCAGATGCAAAGCTCAGACTTAGGCCTGTGTCTGATGGAAACAGCACCACACCAAACCTCTCCATATGCAGCAGACCAAAGAAAGGCCAAAGGTTGCTGTGCAACCTCCTGGGCTCCCGGCACCTCACAGCTCCACAAACTCCACAGGATTAGCTGACCAAAACATCCCTGGGTAAACATAGCATCTGCCCAGGGGATCAAAAGCTGTGCCCTGGAAGACAGTCTGTCTGCAGAGCTCCTCCTCCATGCTGAGAGTCCCCTGCAGGCACTCTAGGGTCACTTTGGGTTCCCCACCCTGCCCCTCTTCATTAGTGGTGGTCGCACAGGGCAGTGCCTAGGGCAGACTCTTGGAGAGGAACAATTCAAACACTCTTGTTTCTAGGTTGCAACTAGAGCAAAGTTGATGTTTTCCCCTGAATTCTTAGCAGAAGTCCCAATAATGTGATCCTATGCAGTGTTCTCTTATCTTGGAAGACACTTTGCAGCAATACACTGTCCTAGCAGCTGACATTCTGATACACATGGAATGATAAATATTAATGTCCCCAAGCTGGTAATATAGGTCTGTTTACCTTAGACATGTGAATAAGCAACACACACACACACACACAACACACACGCATGAGGGGTTGTGTGGGGGGGTGACAACTGTGTCCCCTTTTGAGATAACATAGGAATGTTAGTCTGTCATCCCCAAGATTACACTATTCTCTTATTTTAGTCCCCATTTTCTTTTTCATTCTGTGTGGCTTTCCCAAGAAGTAGAAATCCTGGAGACACAAAATCTCAACCTTTCCTGCTCTGAAAGGTAAAGATTACCCTAGACAAGCCAGCCCACAGCTCTGACACTGTGTGCTCCTGCTGAAAGGTGTCTTCACTCTGTCTTCTGTGTTTGACCTGAGGTGTCCTGGTTCCAACCACCCACATTCATGCCTCCTATCAAGTTCCACGGACTGTATTTCTAGCAGAAATTCCTGCCTGTGAGTGCAGATCAGACTGGGTGTCAGAAAGGGGTTTTCTGTTTCCCTTTGCAGAATGGGCATCATTCTTTTTCAAAGGGAGAAGAACAGGCCTAACAGTGCTTATGGGAGTTGGACTTAGCCGTGGAGCATGGTGGGTTCAGTCAGTGCAATACTGCATGAAATCTGTGGCTCCAGAATCTCCCCTCTTGTGAAGGTCAAACTGTGTGTGTGTGTGTGTGTGTGTGTGTGTGTGTGTGTACATGTTCATGTTGTATATCTACCCACACATGAGATACACTAACAATCCTAGGAAAAATATTCTGATCATTTGAAAACTCAAAAACAAGAACTTTTAAAAATGTAGTTTTAGTATAAGAAATCCCAAGAGGAAGATGAGAAGGGAGGGAGAAAGATATTTTTGATGTCTTCAGAAAACATCCATTTTAAATAATTCTTACTTACTGGGAAGCAAACAGGTTTAATGTGTTTCTGGTGACCTAAAGTGGGTTTTCTGTCACCAGGAGGCCAGGAACAAAGAGATAGGCTCACTCCACCAAATCTAGACCAGGCTTTCATTTCTTTCTCCTTCCAACCTTTGACTAAGACAAAGGCCAAGAGAGGCATAGGGAAAGAGCTATATCGGCAGCAGACTGAGGAGTGCAGAGAGGACAGAATGTGAAAAGTTAGTTCCTCCACAAATCAGATACAGTGTAGTCTCCTATTCCAGAACACCCACATCTACAGCCAGCCACTGCAACTCCCCCACCACCAACACAAAGACCGGGAATGGTTCCTCCCCTCTCATCAGGACCACCAGAGTGAAAGTCACTCACCAGGAGCTGCTGCATTCTGCTTTCCTGTGTCTCCTGTCATCTGTGTTCCACCACGAAGCTCATGGTGGTGCCATCAAAGGAGGGGGGAGCGATGATCCGTGGCCCCAGGGGCTGTGAGGTGATGCTGATGACAGGCTTGCCGTGCAGCTGGGGAAAGCCCTTGGCCCCCACAAGTTGGGATGTGGCTGCCGGGGCCGAGGAGGAAGAGGAGGCAGGGGACTGACCAGAGGCCATGAAGTATGGGGCTTCAGTGAGCGCTGCAGCTGTCTCTTTGCCGGGGGTCTCTGCTGCTACTGCGAGCTCATTGCCTCCTGCAGTGTGAGCAATGGGCGTGGGCTGCAGGGCGTTGGGGGGCAGCACTGTGGGCAGAAATCCTGGATAGATCATATAGGTGGGCCCATAGGCCCCAGGACTCAGGGCCAGAGGAGGGACAGGGAGGGACATGGGGGCCACAGGTTGCTGCTGGGAGGTCATTGGCACATCCACGTACTGTCCTGTCTCGGGGTCAAACAACCTCCGGGTCATGGGTTGAACGGGTGTGTCCACCAGATAATACTGCCCAGTGGTCACGTCAAGGAGCATCTTGCGCTGTGTCTGCTGAGGCTGCGTCTGCTGAAAGGGGTCTGTGGGGACTGTGGCTGGGCCTGCAGGCGCCGGAGCGGGCATACCAGGTGGGGAGAAACAGAGGACCTGTGGCTGCGCCCCCTGGAGAGTATAGGGCAATGCTTGCTGGTGGTAGACCGCAGTGGGAGTGTGCTCGGGGCTCTGCAGCCCCGTCGGGGCAGCGACGGCTTCGCGGTGGTTGTCAGGTTTGGTACGCCAAGCTGGCCTACTGGTTCCACTGACGTGCGTGCCTTTGGAGTTATTGGGGACCTGACTGCGGGCACTCAGCGGAGGTAAGCTGCAAAGAGTGGCAGCTGAGGAGCTGGGAGGCGCGTCTCTGGAAGCCCCTGGCCTGCCCAGCAACTCCCCTGAAGCAGAGCTTCCCTTAAGCGGGGCGGGCAGGTAATTCTCACATTCACTGTTACTCTTTTCCAAAGTGACAGCAGTTTTCCTGCCGGTGACCTCGTCAGGGGGTGCTCGGGTGGCCGGGGAGATCTTGAGCGATCTGAGCCCCTGCGATTTGATGCCCTTGGCTGCTGAAAGGCTCTCTGGAGAGGGCCCTTGCAGGAATTTGCCGGCAACACCCCCAGTCTTTTGAGTGCTGCTGGCACTCACGGTGAACACGTTCCGATTGCTGGGAATTGGGGGGAGGGGCTGCAGAGGTTGGGTTCTTTCCACTTCCTTGTGGACTGGGGGGATATAGAGCGACCTGGGCCTTTCTCTGGCCATGTTCTCAAAGGCGGCTGCCCGGGCAGACACACTCTCAGTGCTGGGGTTAGAGTTTCTCCTCTGCAGACGTTCAATGGGGCCCCCCCTTAGCACCACACCAGGTTTGTGCCCCGTGTCCCGTTCCTCCATCTGCCCCAACTGCTTGGCCAGCTTGTCGGGGTCTCCTTCAGGTCCGGCCACCCCTTCCCTCTCCTCGCTGGCAATGAGTGACAGGACGTGGCTGTCGGCCATCATGGGCAAAGGGTCACTTTTGCGCTTCCATTCATTCCTGTTGAAGCTGTACAGCTCTTCCATGGACCTCACGGCGGCCGTTAGCTTCTCCAAGGCGTTCCGGGCTGGCTTTGGTGCCTTCCCTTCCTCCTTGATGTCTTCGTCTTTGGGTTTCTCTGGGGTCCGCTGAGCAGAAGCCTTGGAGACAATCTTGAGCACGGGCAGGTAAGAGCCCTGCTCAGATTTATTGGGAGCAATGGTGGCCACAGGCAGCCTGCCAGATGCCCTGTGAACCAAGACAGTCCCTTCTGGAGAGGAGTTCAAGAGTCTGCTGCCACTGCCCACTCTGCCCACGCCTTCCCTGGGCTCGCGGTCCACACTGTCTTCTCTTGGATTCACAACCGCCTGGCACGTGATCACCATAGGGGACAAGGACCCAGATCCTCCAGCTGCGGCAGTCAGCTGCCTAGGCTTCGGCCCTGTCAACCCCTGCTCTGGGGTGACGCTGCCCTTGTCACTGCTATCCCCTGACCCTTTGATTAGTTTCCTGACATCCCTCACCTGGTGGAGAGGTCCTGGGGCCTTGGACTTGTCTCTTACGTCTCTCACCTGGAACTGGGGCACCTTTTCCAGATTGTCCCCACCACGGAAGAGTTTCTGCTGGGTCCTGCTGGTGTCCTCAACGGTCTTAAAGAGGTTTGAGTTGCTGCCACTAGCCAGTTTGGGTGTGAGCAACTTGGCAATGTTGAAGTCCGAGCTTGGCTGTTGTACACTTCCCAGGCGGATCTTGATTTCGGGAGCTTTGGGTCTGATCACGGCCGTGGAGGTAGCCTGGGCAGCAGCAGGGTACTTGGTGGCCTGCTTCTGCGGCTGTTTGTCCTTGGGCATCTGCTGGATGTTGGGAACGAAGAGGCGAGACATGATGGTAGACTTGCTGGCAGAGATCTCCCCGAGATCAGCCCGCCAGTCCCCACCTTTGGGGAGCTTTAGCTTCCCGATGGGGCCTTTCTCCTCCAGCTTCTCTGCCTCCCTCTCCTTCCATGTCCGGAAGGCACTGTTCTGACTCCGAAGGAAGATGCCCTTCACGGTCTCTGAGGCACTCTTTTTAATTTCACACACTTCCGTGTGCCCGTCAGAGAAATTTCGGCTGGGGCCTGTGTTGCTCTCTCGAGGAGTACTGGCTTTGAAAATGGGGGACTTAGAACCCACAACAGACCCTTCTCCACCTGCATCGGACACACTGACCACGGTGTATTCGGAACTAGCCTCGGAGTGCCTGGAGCTCTGCCTCTGCAGGCCCCTCTCCCACGGCTTCTCAGCCCCAGGAGGCCCTTCTGTCTCCTTAGAGGTGCTGGGGGCGTTCCGGTGAGAAGTGTCAGTGACTTCTCCTCTCTCCATTTTGAACTCGTGTTCTCGCTGCATCTTCTTGGAAATGACATTTTTGAGCAGACTCGAAGCGAACTTGGACTTCTTCTGGGGGCCGTCACCGCGGGAGGCAGGCTTGCTACTCTCGGATGTCTCTGATCCGTCATCCGTGTACACGGACCCCGGACCTTTGCTGGAACCTTTGCTGACTCTGCAGGGCCCGGCGGCTGAGCTGACTTTGCTCTCACTTCGTAGATTGAGGGGCTCCAGAAGTGTGACTACCCGGGAGCCAGTTTGGACCTGCTTCTGGAAGCACAGGGGTGTCTCCACGTGTTTGATTTCTCCTTCAACTTTGCTGACCACAAACTCCAAGGCCTTGGTCTGGGACTTCTTGGCCTGGAGGTAGAGCTGGTCTGCGGTGGCTCGCGTGCCCTTCCTCAGACCTGCAGCCACAGAGGCGGCACTGCTCCTCAGCAGGCTCTGCTCCACCCTGGCTCCAACACCTCCACATTTTAAGTCCAGGAAGGTTGACCATCGTCCAAAGCCCACTTCGGAGAGTGTGGTGGAGGATTCCCGGGAGCTGATGTTCAGAGCCTCAAAATAGGGGTAAGCGAGGCTCCGGAAGGCCCTGGAAGTTAGGTTTCTCACCTCTTTGTCCGCATCGTCCAGCTCGCTCACTGCACTGGAGGCTCCGCTGGAGTAGTCCACCAACTCCTTGGCCCGGATGGCCCCGCACCTGGTTTGCAGCCGAGCTGGGACTGCAATGAATTTCTTTGCATGGTCCTGAGCCACGGCTGCAGCCGAATTTTGCTTTTGTGAACTTGAATTGTGTTCAGCAGCTGTAGAGACGCGGAGGCTCATGTCGCCTTCATGCTTGGCAGCATAAATAATGTTTTGCTTTGCACGCACGTTGCTAGGCTCATTTATAGCCCGGGAAGTTGGCTTGATTGATAGGAGGATCTGGCTTGCTGCACCCGCACAGCTGCTTGCAGCAGTGACCGGTGCCCCTAACGCTGCCTCCTGGAGCTCCAGTGAAGGCTCAGGTGGAGTGGCGGTGCCAGGCCCAGTGGGTGGGGGAATAGCGTCGCTGTCAGAGGGGCCACTGCCCACTTCTGTGCTGCTGGTGTCACGGCCACTGCTGCCTGCACTAGGGCGAGCCAGGTCACTGCTGATGGGGCTGGGAGTCCGAGTGGTGTTGGTGCTTGGAGTGGTGCTGACGTAGCAGCTGTTGTCGTCATCTTCTTCGGTGGTGATGTCTCCTGGGGTCTCATCACTGCCACCAAAGGAAGCATAGTCCACGAACGAGTAGATCACGTTGTTGTCCTCGAAGTCCCAGCGAGAAGCCAGCCCCACATCGAAATCCATGCCCTGCTCTACCTCACTCAGCTGGATCTCATGGGTGGTGATGTAGTGTGCGTCCTCATTTTTCACGGGCTCCCTCTTGCCCTGGGACTTGGCAATAATGTCCTTGCACCCTGTTCCATCACCGACCCCTCCTCTCCCATCCTCCCGTGCTCCTGCCCTTTCCCCTGCTTCTTCTTCGTTGTGTCGCTGCCAGCTGGCTTCCGCCTCACTCTCAAAGCCTAAGGATGAAGAGGAGGTGGCCAGGCCCCCCAGTAACTTGGTGGGGCCATCCGTTTTGGAAAGGCCAGCGTCTTCTGCTGTGTCCACCGGGGAGGAGGAGGAGGAGGAGGAGGAGGAGGAGGAGGAGGAGGAGGAGGAGGAGGAGGAGGAGGAGGAGGAGGAGGAGGAGGAAGATGAGAAGTCACTCTCACCAGCCCGGGAGCTGGGGCATTGGCTCTTCCTGGGAGTTGGAACCTCACTAGCATGGCTGCTGGGTTCATCCTTGGCTTTTGTCTTTGGGCTCCCGGAGGCCTGCTCCCCAGGGCAGTGTTCTAGTAGCGATTTCATGGTCTGGGGGCTCTCGCTTTGGACTCCAGTTGAAGCACACATCTCCACATACTTGGCTTCGTGCTGAGTAGAGTCTAAAGGCTCAGGAAGCAGTCGCAGCTGCTGCCTGGGCTCCGGGCTGTCTTGTGCTCTGCTCACCCGGTCCTCCGCAGGCGTCAGGCTGCTGGCCATGTCAGAAGTACCACCTTCCATCCCGAGCCCTTGCCCAGGTTTCAGTGACAAGAAGAGGCAGTGGTGAGCTCTGGGGCTATCCCGGGTCCCCCTCCGGTCCTGGAGGGGCCGCAGAGTGGCCTGAAACAGGTTCCCACGTGTCTGGGCTGGCCCCAAGCCTGTAGGTACCACTGCTACAGCTGCCACCACCGCCCAGTGCTTCAGCCCCTGTGGCGGGACCTCGGCAAGCCAGAGTGAGGTGGGAGGGCTCCCAAGAGGGGCAGCAGAGGTGGTCTGTAGCCAGGGGGCTGCGGCTCCGGCCGCGACCTTGGCCAGTGTCCTGCGGCTGAGCTGTCCTGTCCAGTTGCTTGTCTGGCACCGTCCGTGGCTGGGGGTCTGAATGCCATCAGCCAGTGAAGAAGCCGCATCTGTAGGTCGACCCCAGGTCTGCCAGAAATGAACGGAAAGCATGTGCTGTGTCTTGTGCAGCCTTGGCGCTGTCCTGGATGTGGAGACAGAGGGTCACGTCATTCCAGAAATATTTTTAGTGTCCATTCCCTAGTCATATCGAAACTACACTTGAGGGTAAGAGGAAGAGGCTGTGAGGAGCCGAGGAGAGGAGGTGGGGTGGGAGAGGAATGTGGCTTCTGACTCAAATCCGCCAAATGTTCATTGTAATCTGTTTCAGAGCCGTCTAGCAAGTACACAATTACCCGTCCCTGGCTGCCATCTTTCTCTTCCCAGCTTCTGACTGCATGAATTTTCTCCCCTTGTTCAAAATTCAAATTTTGCACCAGGCTTCAAATCAATTAAGGAAACTCCAGAAATACTTCGAGTCTCCCTCGTGCATACGGCAATTTTATATTTGCTCTATTTGCATACGCTATCCCTTTGGAGAACAAAATCAGATGAGTGTGAGTTACAAAAGTTTTCATAGGACAAGAATGTTTTTCATCCTCCTTCCCTGTGGTCAAACTTACACTATGTGGAACATAACCTATCTGTTTGAAAATGGGGGGCGGGAGGACCTCTTCCAGGATCCTTACTGTATTGATTCAAAGCTGAAAGGGTAATTTTACAGAGATCTAATAACTGCTTAAATAAACTTGGAGCTACGGACACTCTGAAGAAACACAGGAGGGCAATGTGGACATGATTTCAAATCCCTGCAGTATCTACTCAAGCTCAAAACCGTCTCTAAACTTGTAAACCCCCGACAAAACAATAAACCCTGTTAAATATAGCCTGAGCTGCAGCTTGCGATTGGACTCCCTTGGCTGTACGCCAGGCCGGCAGGGCACAGAGTCAAAACACAGGAAAGAACAACGAATATGCTTACCCTTCATGAGTACAGTGCGGCTTGGAGGAAGGTTCAGAGAGGAAATGGGAGCCGCTGGCATGCCCCATGAAACACGGCCAAAATCCCAGTTCACCAGCTCTGAGACATATCCATTCCAAACAAGGCAACCCACCACAGAGGTCTGGGCTAGCAACCTTTGGGGGCAATTCCCTGGGCATAGTTCACGGAGAACTACGACTTGGTTTTGGTGAGATCTGGCCCTCATCAGCTGCCAGGTTCCACCACTATACATAGTCTGTGTGTCACTTATGCCGACTGGATAAAGCCCTATTTTAAACATCCACGTTTGTGGAAAACAAAAATAACATCGTCAAGCATCCCCTTTTGACATGAATGCCACCCCCGCGCTGAAAAGTGTTCCTTCCTCTGAGTAGGCTTGCGGGTAGGTGGGAAGTAGGCACCCTAACAACTGCAGCTTCTGCCTTCTCTCCCTGCTGGGGTGTAGGCATCCCAACCCAGCTATTCCCCCTGGACCAGACCTTTGCATTCTCCACTGCCACTAAAACATGATCAGGAGAGCCTGAAAGCATCAAGAATAAAATTATGGATATAAAGCCATAACTCACAGTGAGGAGTGAAAAAGAAATGCCTTGGAAATCTTAGTTTCTTGATTAATGAATACAATGACTAGCGACATTTAAATTTGTATATATATATATATATATATATATATATGGTTTTTTGAGACAAGGTTTCTCTGTGTAGCTTCAGCAATCCTCAGTCTCTTTGTAGACCAGGCTGACCTCAGAGTCATGGAGATCCTCCTGCCTCTGCCTCCTGGGTGCTGGGATTAAAGGTGAGTGCCACCACTGCCAGGCAATTTGTGCATATTTTAATTATTGAACCCTGTTTAGGGCCTGATGAATTAAGTACAATTTCTGTACTGGTTTTATAGGTGGGGAAACTGAGACCCAGAGATGGGGCAGAATTCAAACTACCAGCTATTAAATCTGCATGACCACAAAGAAGCATGTAGCCGTTTGAGGTTTTTTTATTTATTTCATATTATCAACCTGAGAACACATTATGGACTCGGGAGGATTAAGAACCATGATCCTATTAATAAAATGGGATTAAATATAGTCACCATCTCTCAGGCAAGCAGAACTTTCAGCTCCCCAATTTTAAATTTTCTTTGAGGCTGACCTGCCAGTAAACCCTGAAGACAGTCCCAGGTTCTATGAGGCATGTGTACTTCATGGCTGAACAAGAGGCAGAGTTGCTGCTCATCAGGAATTTTAGTCTAAGGAGGAATAGCTCCAGAATTTTCATGTGTCATGACAACACACAGATTTCCCCCAGTTTCTTCCTGTAGTTGGCAGAATATAAAACTGGATGGTCAGGAGCATTGGGTGTAAGTTAACTCCTAATTTCTTTTCTTGTTTTTGTTTTTGTTTTTGTTTTTTTGTTTTTGAGACACAGTTTGTACTCTATACTGGCCTTGAACTCAGCAATCCACCTGCCTCTGCCTCCTGAGTGCTGGGGTTAAAGGTGTGCTCCACCCACCGCCGCCCAGCACAATTTCTTAATACCCAAAGTTCCTAGAATCTCCCTCCGTCCCTCTGTTCCCTGTTTGAGAACAAAGCCCCTGAGACTCAGACCAGCACAGTTCTAACTGGGTACTTACCTTCAGGAGATATGTGGCTCCTTCTCTGTTCTCTAGTGAGACAATTTAAGAGTGGGGGTAGGGTGGAGGGGTGGGATTCCTTCCTGTGAAGTCAGTTTCCAAAACCACGGATTCCTTTTAAAACTCAAAGAAGCTAAAAATATGCAGTAGGACTGACTATTCAGAGAAAAGAAACTGATAAATAGAAAAGTAATGACCAACTTTAAAGAAGACAGTTAAGAACTCCAAACTGTTTACCTTCCGGCATTTTTAGAGTTCTGGGTCAGTTTACGGTACTATGAAAAGGGGTGGTCTCCGATCTGTTGAATAGTTTGGAGTCATTGGTAGCCACACTGCCTTTTATTCTTTCATATGACTACAACCACTTTTTTACAGATGAACTCAGTGACTGCCTGCCCGATTTCAAATCTTGAGCAATTGGCAGTGACTAATAGTGCCAGCATTAACCCATGCTAAGCAGGCATGCTTGGTAAGCCAGGCAAGGTATGCCCTGCTGATAACTTTATATGGGAATTCAGAAAGCAACAAAGGAAATGACTCAGCAGCACCGTTATTTTTATCTCTGTGGAGAAAGTTTCTTAGCTTTCCCTGAAGGTTTTCTGAGACAGATCAGTGTGTGTAAAACCTTAACATGGTTTAAGAAATTAAGAACGAGGGCCAGGCCAGTCACCAGTTGGTCAAAGGATAGACTTATTTTTAGGGTCTCTAACTGTGGCACTGTTTGATAACTAAGCATGTCTGCTCAAGAGAAACAAAACAGCATACTGAAGGTAGGCCATAGGCTGGAATGAAGAGATGCATTAGATTAAACTTAGCCTCGGGTTAGATGCCAAACACTTACCAACGACAATCATTCTTAGTTCCTCTGAGGCAGTGGGAAGGGAGGGGAAGCAGGTCTTTCCATAGAGGTGTGTTGAGCTCTCAGCACACATGTAGGTGAAGAAGGCTTTTCTGCTGGCTACCACCTAAGACCCAGGGTGTGGCCAGCCCCTTCCTCCCAGGCCCAGGTAGGGACATGTGAAATTAGCCTCTGAAAGAAGGCACCCTGCCATCTCTTTCTTTTTCTGAAATCATGCAAAGGTGCCTAATTACTTAGTTATCGAAATAAGCACTTCATGACCATATGACTAAGTAGTTACTCTTTCCACTTCGTGGGTTGAAAACAGTGAGGCTGAGTAAAACTTGCCTCTTATGTGGCTTTTCACAAGTTTTCCCACTTAACAAATGCTGTGACCCTGGTTAGAACTGGATTTGAGGTGGTTCCAGCCTACACTAAGTGGGTAATTGAACACTGAGTCTATGAGGGAGAGAGGGAGAGAGAGAGAGAGAGAGAGAGAGAGAGAGAGAGAGAGAGAGAGAGAGAGAGAGAGAGAGAGAGAGAGAGAGAGAGAGTGGGTGTATGTGTGTTTTTGTGTGTATGCGGGGGAGAGGGTTGCTGTCACAGGGCCGTGCCCAGTGCGGGCCAATTAAGCTGTTTCACAGCCTCAAGCCAGCTGCCTGCCCACGGGACCGGCTGGTCCAAAGATATGGAGAGGCAGGATTAGAAGAAGATGACTATGCCTGTGAGGGGGAAACAGCATGTACGGTGGGGACGAGTAAGTGAAGAAAAGCACGTAGTTGTAGCACGGGGCCCCACACACTCTAGATGCAACCCCTTGGCTATGCCCTTAAAACTTGGAAGGGCAGGAAGGGACAGTTCACCACCAGAAATAAACACCTTACTAACCCACCCTTGAGCCTGCACACAAGCTCAGATGTGGAGCTAAGTGGTTGTTCACTTTGCCTCTTGAGCCAGGAGGCAGCTCAGGGAGCCCATCTTTTCCAGCTGCCCTCCTCCTGCTTTTTGTCTTTTGACCACCCCCACCCCCACCCCTCCCCCCTCTACCCCCCACCCCTGCTTTCTACACTCCGTTCTCTGCTGTTACTCCTCTGAGCTGTGACTTGTTATGTTAGACAATTGCATCTGCCTGGCCTTTCTCCTCGGGAGCTGTGGAGGTTTCAGATATGACTATATAAAGAAAGAGGCTCCCTTGAATCTCTATAACACTACTTAACATAGCCTGACTCTAAATCTCGGCCCATCTCATCCACGGCCTGTCTGTCATCCCAGCTTGTGCATTATGTATCCAGAGAGAAGGCGGCACGGGGTTTCCTCTGTCTGTGACAGCAGAGGAGGGAGGATATCCCCTTACCTTTCATAAGTTATAGTTACAAGCAGGATATAACTAGTCAAGTCAGCTACTTGGGTAATCACATAGGTCACATGTTTCCGTAACTTTTAGGAAGCAATTGCTTTTCCTTTTAAATCATGATGTTGCATTTTGAGTCCCAAACTCTTGGTGGTTTTGGGATTTTTTTTCTTTTGGTTCTGTCTACTTTGGAAAAGTGTGTTAACTATGATGGTACTTAGTATGACCATGTCATATCTCACCAACCTGTATATTACATTATCATCCGATTACCTTATGCCTTAGTCACTGTTCTATTACTGTGAAGACATGTCATGGCCAA